GGAGGGGGTATGAAGAAAAAGGGGAGGAGAAGGGTGGAAGGGAAGGAGGAAGGAGAGAGAGGAAAGGAGAGAAAAAAATGTAAAGTGGACGGCATTTACGTGTGTCAGGTGACCGTCGGTGGTGGCGCAAAAAAGGTGAGAGGGGACATGACCATTAATGGGGAGTGAAGAGAGAGACCAAAGTCCAAATAAATCTTTCATATTGGATTCCTCGAACCATAAAGTTTAAAGTGTATAACTGAGAACGTGCAACCAAATATTTTGTCTTCTTTATTGTTGGGTAACGCCAACATCCTGCTTACAACAAGGTCCTCAAAGGGGGTTGGGGTGGTCCGAGTCGGAGTCATGATCGAACATTGTGCTTGCTTGGTGAACTTGGTTAAAAAATAAAGTTACGCCCTTACTATCAGCTATAACTTTTAGCATGATGGTAAATGCTTAATCCTAACATCTACTTACTCTTGATAAATGTTCTATGTTACAACTTACAATGATTTTAACTTTTAGCGATCACTTTTTAACAAAGGAATATGAATTCAATCGTTACAAGTATACGTACAGTAATCGATATTTTTGTGATTGTTAAAGTCAATTTAGTTAAGCAATAGTAAGAGGATAATATCTGGTCCATACAAAAGTATAATATTTGGCTGTCATTTCCATCCATTTTTTTTCATTTGGCATACGAGGAAATGCAGAAAGAGACACGAGAGATTGCGATCCTTGTAACCGTCGAGCCAAAAAAAGCAGTTCAGTGCACAAAGTATTTTGTGTTTATGCAGGGTCCGGAGAAAGCCCGGACCCGAGGAGTATGAATACCCTAATGCCAGCATTAATGACTGCTTCCACGGCTCATACACGTGTATTATAGATTACCGAGACAACTTTATTATTACTCCAAAATTCCTCCTATAACCGTCGAGCCAATCAATTATGAATATACCATAACAAAGTTTAGAATAACAACGACTTACTAGTAAAATCCAATTAATCACTAAACTAAGAGTTCTTGTGGATCAACACATTATCTAACTGGTTTTTTAATTCCATTTTCTTGATTGACCAAGAAAGTGATAGCACAAGAAAGATTAATTTTCAGGTGGAGTCCTGGTCCCCCTCACTTGAGTTTTCACAATAAAGCTTTTTAATTGCATGCTGAACCCTTTGTTAATAGACACGGCAAAAATAACAACAATAACGACAAACCAATATAGTCTTACAAGCGGAGTCTAGGAAGAGTGGGGCGTATACAGACTTTACCCATATCCTATATGAGGTAGAGATATTGTTTTCGATAGACCCTCGACTCAAGATTGATATATAATACAATATGATAATTTAAGTCAAGAGTGTTATAGATGAACAAATCTGTCAAAATATACCCCCATTTAATATATTATTTCGTGTGATATTGTCCCATATGAAAGAGTTTATAAGCTATTTAGTACTCTCATCTTCTTTGAGATTACTTTGTACAACAATAATTTCATCTCAATCTCAAATAATTTTAGAGTTAAATATATAAATCTTTCGTCATAATATTTCCTCATTTGAAATTACTCATGTATTAGGCGCAAGTTTGCATAAGGGATAACAGAGTGAATATCCCCCCACCCCACCCCCCCACCCCCTAAAAAAAAACACCCGTTAATGAAGTTGCCAGTACTAAAAGAGCAAATGTTCAGAATTAGAATGATTTTAGGATCCGTTAGACTTAAAATTCAGTTCAATCTAAAAATTTGGAAAGTTACATTCTTTTTGGTCCAAACCTTCGAAATCTTTAATTCCTCCTTGCTGCTGATAGAAATACACCAGTACTCCTACTGTTATACTTTTATTAAGTATATTGATTCTACTATATATTACTACTTAGCAGATGATAATCTGTGATAGGTTTGGTAACAGACAGGTTCAAAATTTTAAGTTTACGAGTTCCTACGATGATCTCAAGTAAATATACAATAATAATCGAACTAATAAACTAAGTTCCGAGCTAAATATTTTTATCTATTTGATGAACTTTTTAATACAAATACAGAATCTAGGCAAAAGTTATTGGGTTCACAAAAACTAATAACTTTTAGATTAAATCCACCCCTGTTTGATATAATTTCCAAACATTAGATAAATAAATTTTGTTTATACCAATTTTAACGAGCTTCAATGAGAAAAAAAAAAAAAGAGAAACAAATTAAGACCTAGAAGTATAAACAGGTAAATTTGGGCAATAAAAATAAATATCTAATTAACCGTGATTAAGCAATAAATCTTGTATACGAAGTACGACTATTTGAGTTAATTTTTTAACTAAATAAAGAAAAGTAATTTTTACATCACCAAAATGAAGAAATTAATCATCTCAACCCCTAACGTTATATATATATATTTTTTATAAGTTGATGTTCAGAATAGTTTGCACACGTCTTAACTATTCCACGAGATACCTTAATCCTTATGGTTATATCATGCACGGTTTTAAAATCAAAAAACATAATTAAAAAAAGAGATAATGAGAAGCAAAAAGGAATTAGAAGAGAAATAGAAAAGACTGTTTCTTGATTTTCTTTCAATTTTTAGTATGTTTTCATATGTAAAAAGTTAGCATAGAAAAAATAAAAAAGCCGCCAAAATTGGTCGCCACTTCACTCTTCCCTTTGTCCTCAACCCATCACCAAAGAACCCCCTCCCCCCCC